AATAGGTGACCATATAACATTTCAATCATCTTTTGTCCAGTTTTAGAAACATTCTATTTGCAGAGATAAGATATAGAATAGGCCTTCTAAAAACTTCCCCCTCTAACAACACCACTTCCTAAAATCCCAGTCTGGGGAGGGTGTGTGTACGCAAACCTTCCCCATACTCTAAGCCCATCCAAATTTACCCAAGTAGATGCAACTGAAATATGAAGTAATAACAAAAGGTGAGCCGAAAATCATATGCAAATTATGTTCCTTCACCTTCTGGAACCGCTCTCCTTCACTATCTCTTGCCACCCTAAATAAGTTAACAATATCCACAGTATATTGGGAATGCGTATTGGCATGTGTATTCTTCATATATCTCTCAACCTGAGCAAAGGAATGTGATCACTTTCAATGGGCCAATCAAATAAGTCTTGTTTCAAACAACATAAATCAAAGTAGGTGAATATATCAAACAGTTATTCCAAACAAAATCAATGAGAAAATAGAATAAAAAAAGATCAAACAGAAAGAAATAATACCAATAAATACTCCTTAGTCCCAACCTCAACTGGAGTCATTTGACAGTTAAGTTGTTGATAATGGTAATACAAAGGATCATCCTACAAGGGAGAGAATACAAGTTACAGTCTTACAGAGCATAAAATACAAAGAACAGAGGTACTGAGAGGTGAACACACACAGGGGTCGGTTCAAATAAAAAGCGGTCTTCCTGTGAAAAATACAAACGACTGCGCATTCAATCTATTTTGATGCACATTTGTTCTATTCCAATGCACTTTACGTGATTTTAAAAAAACTTCCATTTATTTACGACAATGCAACCTTTTTTAATTGTTTGTGTTTTCTTCCTCTTAGCCATAGATCTAAAATCCAATGCACCATATCAGTTCTCATTTTTCATAGATGTGCACACTTTACTTGATCTTACACACACACACACACATCCATTCCTGCCAGTTCAAAGTCCTTGCTAGGGGTGACTCAGCATGGCTACACTTATTATTAAATTTATTTGGAAATGTAAGTAGTAAAATTATGCCAAGTATGCTATAATTATGGTTTTCTATATTTTCAATTATGTTATTTATAACATAATAAATTTAATTTAGACGCCCTATGTCCTAGTGTATTTGTCCACGTTAGTTTTGGAACATGGACCAAGAAGAAGAAAAAAGAGAATGAAGTAATCATTATGTGCTTTTAATTTTTGGGTGGGAGAGTTAGATAACTGGGTGGGGAAAATAACTCAATGTCACTTTATCTCTTTTCCTTAAATGAAAAGTGGACACATACATAAGGGCACCCCAAATTGGAATATTAAACAAATACATTGGAGCACTTTATCACCATGTCTTATTAATTGATGTGTGGTAACTTATAGATTAAGGTGGTGATAACCACACCCACAAAAAAACTAAATTCACCCCACCAACAAAAGTTTACTCCATTAACTTTATTTGTTTTTAAAACTAACCCCACTTAATTGACTCCATTTTTTTGGTTTTTCCCTATGAAGCACGGGTGCTTCGAAAAACAGCCGCACAAACCCGGGTGCAGGGGCGGCGGTGCAGCTGGTATTTTTTTTATTATTTATATTTTGAAAATGAACAACTGGGTAGTTACATTTTTTTTATAACTTGGGTTCGACTGGGAAGTTTTGAGACATTTTATGTGGAGTGAATTTAATGTTTTGGTGGGGTGTGACTATTACAACCCAATAGATTACCCATATAAAGTAAAAAAATATCATTGTTAACCAAAAAAATTAAAAATAATCTTCACAAGTTCTTATTTGATACAGAGTAGTTTTTTAGAACAATACATAACATAAGAAGAAGATGAGGAATTCCAGGCCGGGCCTAGTCGCCTATCCACTATCCATACAGAAGATGCGAATAACTCAAATACTCAATTAGGATAAGTTGGTATGAATTACCTTAGAATGGTAAATAAAGAACTTCTGATTATCAGTTAGCCTATAAAGGTAAATAAAAAAGAGTACCTTTAAGCCCATGGGGTCCTCCAGCAACTTAGTGGCAACCTCAATTAATCCGAGAGATTCCACCTTTTCATTTCCAAGGAGTAGTACATCAATTAAATATATCACTAAGAAAGCAACAATAGTCAGATAGAAACAAGGAAATCTTTTAGAATCAGCATATATCTGAACCTCACTTCTTTTAACTAGGAACTACAGTGATGCATGTGCAAAAACAAGCAAACAAACCCAAACAACAAGTAGAACCTCTGAAGGTAGATTTCATGTTTCAGAATCTTTGATAAACCCCCCGCCTCAAATTAATCGTCCTAGTTTGACTTCATGGAGTTTAAGAAAAGTGTTGAAAAGTAAAAATTGGATGGTTAATATTTGTTTGGAAAAAAGAGAAAGACTGGACCACATATTCTTTACTTTATTACGCAAGTGGGACAATTATTTTGGAATGGACTAAAACAAAAAGTAGGACGTACGGAGTAAAAGGGTACCCACCAAACATTTTTTTATCTAAATTGATGCATTGAAAATTATAATTTTTCTTGACCAACAATTTTACGGCGTATATGACAATAGAGTATGAAACAATCAAAAGCCATATGTCATCTCTATCTCCAACACTTTAAAAATAAATGCCAAGGGAAAAATATGTACGGAGATTGGAGAATATGCAGTTATGCCAGTGTCTGCATGTTTATAATTATTGTAACAAATAAGGTTGGAAATTACCATTTCCAATTTGCGTTTCAACTTCTGAGGGGTATCTATCGTAAACTCACCTGTCATCAAAGGCATCATCAATTTAATTATGCAAACCTTTAAAAAGCTAAATTAAATGTTGTTTGTCATATAGTTATCAGATAGTAGCCTCTTTTTTTTTAAACGAAAATGCTATATATATAATCACCAAACACATCAAGTATTACACAAACTCCCACATCATTTTCCAACACTTTCTCTACCCACCCTTCTATCTACTAAATGTCACAGAACAATGATATTTAATGGTACTAACTATCTCCTGAATTTGAACTTCTTTATCATGCCTTTTCCAATTCCTAGCCCTCCATATATAGTAGCACGCTGTGGCCCAACCAGCTAGCACTTCCTTCCTTCTCTTCCCGGGGTTGTTCTTTATTATGCCCATTGCCATCTCTACAATATCATCCCCTTCTAGTTTTGTCTGCATCCATTCAGCTATATGGCCTAACACATCCTTGGCAAACTCGCACCTGCAAAAGAGATGAGAGATGTCCTCTTCCCCGTTTTGGCAAAAGAAACATGTTGTGTCCAACTCCATAACTCTCGCCAGTCTAACTTTTGTTTGTATACGCCCACGCATAATTAGCCACAATATAAACTGGCACTTTGGCAGTGTTTCCCTGTTCCAAACCCAGTCTGTCCATATTGGTTTGGGATGTTCGCCTAGAAGCCATTCATAACCCTGTTGAGTTGTATACCTTACCCCTCTAGGCATGCTGGCAAACAGATTCCTGACTTTCATCATTTGAGTCCAATAGTTACAGCAGTTAGGCCTAGGGGTGAATTTGAATATGCTGTGATTCTGTGATAACTCAATGGGGGTATTGGTGTGTGTGCAGATGTCCTAGTTCCTAATACGATAGGTAGAAACATATGGATATCATGGAATACGTTGGCATCACCAGACTGGAAATGGAATAAGCACAGATAGAAGAGCCAGAGAGTCAATTAGTCAAAAGCCTCGACAATAAGAAATAAATGCACTTACGCATCTTTTTGAAGCCAAAATCATGAGGAATGACAGTGTAGAATTCACTGCAATTTGTATCAGCAAATATCAATTTAGCCTACAATTTCTTTAAACAAAAAGTTATAGTTCATCTATTGCTAACAGCATTTTGAAATCCAATCAATAGCTTTATCTTTTAGTGAAAAAATACTCATTGATAACTCCTATGGATTATGGAAACACACAAGTTCACTTCATACCTGCTTAAATTCTCAAGCATAATTCTATTTGGTGTGTTAATCACATCAGCGATTCTCTTCAAGACATCATACCCCTAAAAAAAATTAACTAATATAAATGAAACCATTTTCAGTAGTATAGTGGAGAGCAAAGGTTCATAAATTCTTATTAGAACATGGAACAAACTAACTGCATGGAACAGGTCATATTTAATATGCTCTCTATATCACAGCAATGAATTTAAAGTGGAGAATAGAGCATCCACGTCACAGATGCGAACCTTTGAAATAGTCGATTTGCTCAGTTTGCCAAGGGGCAACTTGTCAGCATTATACCCTATAAGAAAACACAACTGTGTGATAAAGGTAAAATTATAAAATTTTGGAGAATACAGCATTGTCAAAAAGAAAATGATAATCACCTTATAAAAGTTTTCACTGATGAGGTTATCAAATAAAATTTAAAATACTGGTTTCTTTGGTTTGTTTTGGGTTGAAGGTTGAACTAGACATGTGAACAAAAATTGATGGGAGGGGGGGGTTGAAAAAAAAATACGGAGTATCATTATTTACATAAAATACAGAGCACAATAAAATGTCAACCTATTTCCATCATTTGTTGCTTCATCATGTTAACATTGCAAATCAGGGAGATGAACTTTGCAATCGGTGCTTCTAGCTTTGTTTGACAGGGCAGGATTTTTATACAAGCGTTTGGATCTCCTGAAACCTGTTTGGATCGTAACCTCGCCCTCAGAATCAGTTGAATATGAAACAAAAATGTGTCCACCCATGCCATTGATCACAGCTGAATTGAGGTTCATATTACAAACAGATATTTCAATTATCATATGAAACCATTGACTTCTTTCTGACAGATGTGCTGATGGAATCAAGTGAAATTGGTGGGAAAAACAGTGATGGCATTCTATTGGTGCAAAGTATGCAATATAGTCATAGAGTAAGAAGGAATTTATGAGCTACGGCGTATTAACTTAAGGATGTGTTTATATAGAGGGTTTTGGGATGGTGGTGTTTGGAGGGAAAGGCTTTGGAGAATTTATCCTGTATCTTGATAAATACGAAGTAGAAATGTTTCCACGAACAAATAAAGGGTGATTGAAAGATTGTGTTTTCACATATTATGTTGTTTCTTCAATTTATAAAAATTCTTAAATATGTATCAAGATATACACTCAGCCTTCCAAAGCCCAACTCTCAATCTAACCCTGTAATAACTTACTGATGGATCTTCTCCATTTTGGCCGTAGTCCATTTCCAGCCAAGTATATTGCCTAGGGTGGCACACAAACTCCTTACGCTCGGACCAGTGGTTCTTTGTCTTGTCATAAAACTTGCTCTCGAATTCTTGAATGGCGTCACATTGAGATGTATAAGGGCCACTGATCTTTGTCCCACCCTTGGCACCAACTCTGCCCCATCTGTTGTAGACTAGAAATTTCCCACCACCGTCGAATTCTGCAAGATTTTTGTATAATCAAATAAGATGCTCACAAATTTTCCATCATTCAACTTTTTGTATCATTTCAATAGCTTCAGCCTACGGTAACGTCACACATGGACAACATGGTGCACAATCCGACAAATTAGTTATATTATAAACCCATTGATCCTTTTAACAGCCTGATTCCAACCAAGTTTTGTCTTTAGTTTTTTCTTTTCATAGAAGAAAGTGGTCAAGATAATCAACTGAATGGTTTTAAAATATCACCGTATTTTATAGAAATTTCATTTTTGTTTGCAAAAGGATGAAAATATATAGTAACCTAGAGCTTGAATGACATAGAACTTGTTATTGTTCTGCCCAACATTTGTTTGGTTCAGCATTGCATCATAAATTTCGTTCCCCTGCAGATAAACAGCATTACATATTATCGTGGTCATTGTCAAAAAATAGACACAGACAAAGTGTCCACTTTAGGGGCATATACACTGCTAATTTGATTCTAAACTGGCAAGGTCAGGTAGGAACTGGTTAACGGGTTACTTTGGCAAGGTCAGGTAGGAACTGGTTAGTGGGTTACTAACTTCTAATTGACCATTTCTGTATATATGCAGTTTTAAATGAATTTAATAGCATACATGCCCCTAATTTTGTCATTTTTGGCTATGTGAACCTTAATCCCAACTAAATAGGGGTAGTTGGCAAGAAATTTATTGGGTCAATTAGTTTTCAAACATAAGTATTCAACACTCTAAATTTATGCCAAAATCAGTGGCAAGTTTTCATACTGAATGTTCTCCACGTCAGAAAGGGTCATGCTACAATAGATTTTTTAGGCAGTTCTATGAAAAATATAATGAGAAACTCATGACTTCAGATATTCAGGGGCACTTAATTTCAGTATTATTTAGTTCTATTCATAATTCAATACCATTTAGTTTGTTATTACAATTATTATTATTATTATTATTATTATTATTACTACTACTACTAGTAGTAGTAGTCTACTACTATTATTGTTATCAAAATCATCATTGTTGTTGTCTCATATTCTGAACATTTCAGATAGAGTTTTTAATGTTTAATAAAATACAGAGTATTAACTAGTATCATTATGTATTACCAGTACCAGAAATAATTTTCAATATCCCCGCGCTTTCTTACATGTCAATTACACCAACAACAAAAACAAAACAACAAGAAGGGATATTGATTAAATAAAGGGGTATGTGGCATGAAATTTATGGTGTCAGCTAGTTTTCAATAGTTAGTCTTCCACACTAAAAAACTTATGCCGAGCTAAAGTTCGAGAGGGAAAATTCAGCTTAACTTGATTACATCCCCAGTTCCAAAAAAAATAGGGTCTGCCTTATCGACATTGAATACAAAGAAACAAAGATGTGAATTTAGCACTTACACACTGCAGCAGATGGTAATTTGCCTTGATGTCATCTGGAAGCCATTGATCTAAAATAGCTGCACCATTCTTTGTTACTGTGACCAGTTTCCTTTTACCAGCTTCTTGAACTATGCCAAAATTAAATGAACACAAGGATTATAATGATTGTTCATAACCAGGAATTTCATATAGAAACTATACTCTCAGCACCAACCAAACACGCCCTAAATCTGAAGACATGTGAACTGCAAATTGGCTTAAAGAGTCAAATATGAAAATAGTTTGGAGCAAAAATTGACCTAGAAAGTCAAATAGGAAGAGGATGGACCTTTCATACGAAAAGGATCAATCGGATGGGAAGTAAAAAGTAAAAATCCTTTCAACAAAGTGAATTGAATTACCATCATCCGAACCATCATGAACATCATCAACTGCAGAAGAAAGCCTATCGATCAATTCCTTCTTCGAACCGCTGACTGAAACCCCCCGGCGGCTTGCTTCTTCCCTGAGTTGCTTAACAGTCATTCTCCTCAGTTCCTCTGTATCCTTGAATGACACAGTCTTCTCATTTTCCGGAACAGCGCTTGAACCAGTGGATTGACGCGAGCTCTCTTCGTGAATGGCTTCTTCCAGCCTCCGCACCTACGAATGTTTCAGAGTCAAGGCTCGAACTGGGGGCGATGATGAGGGAAGGAGAAGGGAGTGAGAGCTACCAGTGTCGGCTTGGTGCCGGTGGTGTCGAGGCCCCGTTTGGCCAACTCTGCACGAAGCTCGTCGACTTTGAATTTGCTAGCCATTTTTTTGAGTGCAGGTCTTCTCTGCCTTTCGGCTCCTAAACTCTTCACTCCGTCGACCTTTCTTATGATATGGCCTATGGGTACGATTACATCACTTTTAAATTATCTTCAAATGTGTAGAAACTAGAAACTACTCTCTCCAGTCTCTAAATATTTGCCACACTTGTATTCCCGAAGTAAAAAATATCAATTTTTTTTAAATTCATTTTATTTTCATATCGGTATAGAAATAAAAAATAAAATTTACATATCAAAAAACTACATTAAAAGTTCTTCAAAATAAGAAGTGTCAAGAATATTTTATTTTATCAAATAACCCATGAAAACGTAGAAATAAACAAAAGTTCCCGCGACGGCTGAAAAAACAAATGTTGCAAATAATTTGGGACGGAAGGAGTAATTCTCCAGTGATTTTTCTTATATCTCTTAGTCATATTCACTTGCATCATTTTATTTTCTTCTTAATAATTACTGTGATACGTTTAATATTATAGAAAAAACCTCCAAATCCACCTTTTTTTAAAAATATATTCCGTGGTTCTCTAAAATGTTCAAAAACTTACTCTAGATTGACTTTCTTTTTTTCCTTCTTCTTCTTCTTTTATTATTATTATTACCATTATTATTATGATTTTACTTTTTATTATTGTTATTATTATTATTATTATCATTATTATCGTTACTCACTTCGTCATTATCTTCTGCACTAGTCGCCGCTATTGTCTATTGAGTCGTGTTGGATTGTCGTTGTACGCACTATAATAATGATAATGACAATAACAATAATAATAATAATAATAATAATAAAATATTAATGATAAATACAATGGTAAATGACGGTTCACCTAGCATTTGGCATCTTTGACCATAAACGGCGGATTGAACTAGTCAAACCGCCAAAAATTGAAATGCCAACCCCAGCAGCATTTCATTTAGCAGTTCGCCCCTTTTCTGTTTCCTACCCTTTTCTCGGTGTTGCGTCTCTCTGCGATCCTCACGGCACCAGAATTAGTGTAGTGTATTTTTATATATTTATGATATCATATTTAAAAAATTATAAAATAAAATATATCACGCATGGTTGTTATTTGTAGAATGATAAATGAGAAAAATACAAAAACATCTACTTATAAAATATAAATGTAAATTCTCATTTCTTAAATTTAAAACAACGAAGTAGCCTTTTTTGTCCAACAAAAAAATATATGATATCATATTTAAAAAATTAAAATTGGTGTAGAGTATATTAAAAATATATGATATCATATTTAAAATTGGTGTAGAGTATTTTTATATATTTATGATATCATATTTAAAAAATTATAAAATAAAATATATCATGCATGATTGTTATTTGTAGAGTGATAAATGAGAAAAATACGAAAAAATATACTTATAAAATATAAATGTAAATTCTCATTTCTTAAATTTAAAAAAACAAAGTAGCCTTTTTTGTCCAACAGAAAAAATATATGATATCATGTTTAAAAAATTAATATTGGTGTAGAGTATATTAAAAATATATGATATCATTTTTAAAATTGGTGTAGAGTGTTTTTATATATTTATGATATCATATTTAAAAAATTATAAAATAAAATATATCATGCATGGTTGTTATTTGTAGAATGATAAATGAGAAAAATACAAAAAATCTACTTATAAAATATAAATGTAAATTCTCATTTTTTAAATTAAAAAAATGAAGTAACCTTTTTTGTCCAACAAAAAAAAATATATGTAAAACATTTTCTTGTATAATGTGTGTATTTTATCAAATTAAAAAAAATTAAAATCATACACTAACTAACATAAATGGAGGGATGTCCTTATATGTAATTTTACTCACAAACAGCTAACTATAAACAACTAAAGTTGCCAAACATCTAATTTTTAACAGCTAACAGAAACAGCTAACTCAATCAGTCATTCAAACCAGCCAACAGCCAACTGCCATGTTCCAAACAAGGTCAATAATAACAATAATAATAGTATTAATATTAATATTAATATTAATATTAATATTAAAAGAAGGAAATGAGAAAAGTCCATCCAAAGTTAGTTTTTAGATATTTTAGGGTACCCGAAGTATATTTTAAAAACGATGAAAGCGTAAAATATTTTAGCATATCCAAATATATTTTAAAATATACTTCAGGTATCCTAAAGTATCCAAAAACTTACTCTAGAAAATGAGGAAATGAGTAATAATAATAATATTATATTAGTAGTAGCAATAATAAATTATATTAAAAATAATTTCGAATAAAAACTTAATCTTTAATGACATAAATATAAATTTCAATTCGAATCAAATATGAGCTTGCTAATGACCAAACAAACCCAATTTCTCAAATCTCCTCATTAAATGAGTGGAACTCGGATTTCATTTTTCGCTCACTAGCATAAATAAACAAACTTAAGGGTCATTTTGATTTGCCCTTGAAAAACTAATTTTAGAGGTTTTCATCTCATAATCAATTGTATTGCATTCATTTTAATAGTAATATGTATAATCCAAAATTATGCACTATTCAGATAGTTGACTACGTAGTACTTCACATTAGATGTCAATGTCAACCAACCATCAAATTTCCCATCCATAATAATCACAGTTGGTGTGGCCCCATAATTAATAATTGATAGTACACATTTAGCTTTTGGGCCCCATGTAGAATTTTAAATGAATGTGTAAAGATGAGTTGAAATATGTAGTACTCCAATTGATAAGAATGTCCATCACCATAAGTCCATATTTCATAGAAGCACTACACCTCGTCATTTTCTTTTATTTTATAGTAAAAACACTTCGATCAATAGTCATGCAGATAACCAGACTACTCGTATTCTCATACACTAGGACAACTTTGAGATACCAAATTGGATATCACTATTACTATTACGGATTCTCGATAACTTTTCATTATTTGTATAATTTCATTTATAATTTGTTGAAATAAATATTCTTGTCACCTCTTATTTTATAGAGTTTTTATGTACTTTTAAATAGTGTAATTTGTAGTTTTTATTTTATACTAATTTATAATTAAAATAATTTTAAAAATGATGAATTTTCCACATTGTTTGGAGACGAAAGTACTCCCTCCGTTCTACAAAACCTTTCCGATTTTGACTTTGGGGAAAAATAAGGAAAATGTAATTTTGGTTGACTTTCCAATTTTGCCCCTAATGTGATGGGAAAATGTAAGATGTGATAGTTTGGTTATTAGTGAAAAAGTATGATGTGATAGGTAGAGTATGAAAAAATAGGGGTAAAAGTGGGTTTTTAATAGAAAGTGGAAGTGTTTTGTGGAAAGCAAAAAAACGAAAGAGGAAGAGTTTTATGGAACGGAGGAAATAGTAATTTATAACAGGATAAGAACCAAATATTTGAATTTCATATCGAATCGAATACGAATAGTAATAATTATTCAAAGAGATTACAAATATGGAATATGAATATGAGCATTAATCATGGTATTATTTTTCCAAATATGAATAAAATTTCTTAATATTATGTCCTTTTACACCCCTACCCCACTCACGAAAGCACCCTACTCACCCGTACGGGTAGCCCAAGTGGCAAACACTTGGTGAAGTTTGGAGAATGACCAAGGATCGAAACCTGGCAGCGACCGTTGTGGAGGCGACCACCCCTGAAAAATGGGGGGAGTCTCTGGTGCGCACTAGGATATGCTCTAGCTAAGTGTTGTGCTTGGGTCAGCGTGATTTACCTCATCTCACATTCCCGTCTGGTAGGGGCTGAGGGGCTTGAGCTACTTTTGGAGAATGAAAGCAGCCTACTCTACTCCTGAGGGGAGATCTGAATGCTAGCTCCCTTCCCGAAGTTCCAAACAGATCTGAGGTCACTACACCTGTCGATTGTGGAGCTTCCTCTCGTCGCGTCCATCGTTCATCTCCACCACTGTTGCAGAAAAGCATCTGAAATTCCACCAACTCGCTGCAACTAGTCCATCATAACCGGACTCGCCAGCCACCGCCGACTTCTCCCAAACCCTCACTCCGCGTGCTGTGCCTATAGACACTGCCTGAACTCCACTCCGAATTCCCCACGTCCTTTCATTCTTTTCTAACACCACCGGAGCTTGTGCTTATACCTGTCTTAGCCAGAGTTCTCCTGACCGTACCCGAGGCCTCTGTCCTCGTGTCCGGTCAACCTCCCGCCACCTAAAGTGCCGTAACCGTGCTCCGGTGTCCGCCCCTCGACTTCTCGCCTAACAATCCTCAGGTTTGGCGTCCACACAAGTATCACATCTTAATCACCGGGTGTATTGGGTATTTGGGTTCTACATGTGTGTTGAAATGGTAAAACTGCATCCAACTTGATGATAATTCATAAGCTGTAGGTAGATGGATTTCTTTGCTGTACTCTCTACCCTGCTGTTTATACTTTGTCCTGAAATTGAGTTCCCTAAAGCAAGTTATACCTTCTTTTTCGAAGAGTTCATGAAAAATGAAATTGTTTGTTCTAAATTGATGCAGAGGAAAAAAATATATGAGCACCACCAATTTTTCTTTTAAGGAATGTTGACTTTATGTTGGTCCGTTCTAAGAAGAAAAAAGATTTCTGAATTAGTTTCAGGACGGAGGGAGTATTGGACTAAACAATGCACTTTACAAACGCTAGTGGATCATGAAAAACATATTTGGGGAGGAGTAGGTTGAGACGATGTGAATTGAGATAGATAATAGGCATAATGTTTCAACTAACAGGGAGGAGTAGATGACATTGTGGCAAGTAGGTATAGTAGTAGCTTAGTATGTACTCTCCCTTTCCAAAATAAACTCCGCTCTTTGATTTCACAGAGTTTTTTAAAGAGTGAAAATTGGGTGGTTGAAAATTGAACTTCAGTTACAGGAGAGAAAATGATATCTAGTCACATATTTCTTTGCTAAATTAAAAAAAAAGTGTGTATTTATTTTGGTACAACAAAAACAAGTGTAAATTTTATTGGGACGAAGTAATGAAGTATAATTAAATGATAAATACTTTGTATATGAATGACTACGAGTAGTTGATGTATACAATTTTTTATTTGTTTTGCTGGGGGGGGGTCTATGGCTCTATGCACACAATTATAGTGAATGTGTGACTGTTTATATGCACTCTCTTTACAACAACAAGTAAACAACAACCCATCATAATCCCAACTTCATTGGGATTTAGTGGTCTTGACCCGTGTAAAATACAGAGGGATGGTTTTCATTAGATCCTTGAAGCATTGCTACATTTACTACCCAAAACCGATTTGAAAGTATGACACAGAGGAAATCTAATGTGCCATTTTGTTTTAGTCCATTGTTTACCCGAAGCTAAAACATTGTAAATTATGACTATTTTTGCTTCGTTGACAACATGCATGCTTTATATTCCTTCAAATTCAACTAAGTTAGATGTATACAATTTATTTTTGGGGTGGATAGATCTATGCACACAATTATAGTGAATGTGTCGCTATTTTTTTATGCCCTCTCTTTACAACAACAACCTAGTATAATCCCAACTTCATTGAGGTCTAGTGGTCAGGTTGTTAGCAGAGATACCTGTGTAAAATATAGAGAGACGGTTTTCGTTAGATCTTTGATCCATTGCTACATTTACTACTCAAAACTTCATTGGAAGTAAGACTCGAAGGAATTTTAATGTGCCATTTTAATTTAGATTACTATTTACCCCATGCTAAAACATTTTCATTTATGACTATTTTTGCTCCATTGACAACAAACATGCTTTATATACCCTGTTTTGACTAAACAAGAGGTGACAACAATATATTATTTTATCATGTGAATAATGATTAATGAAATTAAAGATAGTGATTGAAGTTTGACCCTCAAGTAGTAATTGGGCAAATCTTTGTGGGACGGAGGAGTATTAAATGGTTAATATGTTGTTTGATCTTGATGGGTTCATCCTGAATGCAAATTCATTTGTCAACTTGGCAATTGTAGTTGATCTTTCAACAATCATGCCGATTCCTTTATTTCAATTCAATTATGAAAAATGAATCCTTCATCTGTAACACCCTTGTGCTAGTTTTAGAATATTGAATACTGTTGTTTGATCCTCCATCTGTCCTAAAAATTTCTTCACATTCCATCTTAGCACTTTTATTAAGAAAATGAAGTTGTGTGGTTGTGGTTGATTTAGAAAGGAGATACACAATGTCCACTTAAATTTTTCCTAAAAAGAAGTTACATAAAAAAATTAGGACAACTCAAAAAGGAAGTGTGAAGAAATTTTAGGATATGAGTAGCTTTTGTTTATGAAGGGTCACTGGTGAGGAATTAGACAACAATGGCATCAAAGAAATCATTTATCTACTTTTACTTTGAAGAATTTAACACCAAACTCAGTGCCTGTCTGAGAACTGAAATCAGCGAACACAATTCAACTTCAAATGACCTCCATATCTTATCTTCTTATTTTTCTATTTTTATCATGATGTTATTATTAATTACTCCGTATATTTTTTCTCCGTTTGTTTATTCTTCTGCAGGGAGGACTTATTCCTATGCAAGGGGCGGCCTCACCTTTGTATCATTAAAGTATAAACCCTATGTGCAAAGAAACAACATTTGAATGCGGTTTCTCAAATGATCTGTAGAGACCTTATGATTCATCAACACGAAAATGGGATGCTCATGTGTCAAAATTTTCAAGCTGCTGCTTTTATACATCTTATTGTCATGCACCTTGCTAGATGAAGCCCATACTCTTAGCCCTGATGGTAAGCTATTCATTCTGTGCTTCATATATACCCTGCCTATTTCATGTGCTTTGGGGGGCTAATCCCCACCTGACTCATAAAATATGCATTCAGGAGTGTCAAGTTAAACCTTCAGTGATCTGTATTTAAGTTATATGCACGTCCGTTGCCTTGGCCAGATCTTCAATCACAGATTAGACTGTTATACCTTAAAAGTTTTGAGGTGTTTTCTCTGCCAAAATTAATAGTAAATTAGTAGTATAGTCATAGATCCGGCCTTTTTATGTTGGAAGTCATAGTTTCTTTTTGTACTTCAGTGGTCTTTTGGAAACAGCCCCTACTATCTTTCTAGGTAGGGGTAAGCTTTGAGTACCACCAGTCAACATCCCTCACTAGACAGCACTTGAGGGACTTTACTTGGTATGTTGTCGTTGAAACTTGAAAGCCTTTTGCTTTTAAGCACTTAAAGCAGTCTTTAATTGGGTGGAATGGTGTCAGCTCGGGGATGGAATGACTAAAATTCTGAATAAAAAATCAAGATCTACTACAGTTGGCCCCCCATCTCTCATTCATAAATGAAAGAGAAACATTTTGTGCTTTGCTTGTAATTTTTTTTACTTAGTAATCATCTACTAGACTACTACATATTTCATTGCAATTTCAGTCATTTTCCTAGAGTGATCGGGATACATTGGATATAAATAGAGAAACATGTGATATGGTGGAAGTCAAAAAGGGAGACTTTCAGTTGTTCGCTTAGAGCATCTTCAGCACATGATAGAAGCTACTTCGTAATTTAATACGCCTGAAGTCTGAACTGAGTTACATATGTTTGAATGATTGGGATATATTGCATATAAATAGAGAAACATGTGATATGGTGGATGTTGAAAAGGGAGACTTTTGATTGTTCATTTAGAACATCTTCAGTACATATAAAAACTAATTTAAGTTGTCTGAACTGAGTTATTCTAAGCACATGATAAAATTAGAGAAACGTAGGTTTAAATGGTTGGGATATATTGGATATAAATAGAGAAACATGTGATATGGTGGAAGTCGATAAGGGAAACCTTTAGTTGTTCTTTAGAGCATCTTCAGCACATGATAAAAGCTAATTTAAGTGGTCTGAACTGAGTTATTCTAAGCACATGATAAAAGCTAATTTAAGTTGTATGGAATATGAATTGAGCTATTCTTTTTTTCACCAGTAAGTTAATTATTGCAGCATAATATTTCTATGTAGGTCAAGCGCTTAATAACTTCAGAATAGCAATAATGAGTTCAGATGGGGTCTTTAAATTTTGGAGACAAGAAGACACCGACCCGTGTAGTTGGAATGGAGTTAAGTGTGACCCAAAGTCCAAGCGTGTTATATCCTTGTGAGTTTCCATTATGTAAAAAAGTCACTTTAACCCCGACTGTTGTACTTTAGATTTTTTGTTTATCAAGTTGTGTAAGTACTACATTCATCCCCGTGAGTTGTTTTTCATACAATGGAGGGTGCTTCCCTGCATTTGTTGTATTAACCTTTTAGATACTTGGTTGCCTTGTGCTCTCACTTTTGTATTGTATTGTTTTGTTATTTGTTCCTTTTCGTTGGTTCTGTACTTTTGGAAAAGTATCATAGTTCTCATTATCTATTCAATGCTCCCTCCATCCCTTGAAGAAGTTCCTAGTTTGACTTGCATGGTTTTAATTTCCTTAACAGTTGTCCTTGACTCCCAAAATTGCCCTTTTAATATGCAATTTGGAATTATTTATGGTGGTGTGTGGTAAGAGTTAATGAGAGCAGTAGAATAAGTCTGTTACTTTTATCAAACAAGGGAAGGGGACTTAATTTAGGGACTGACAAAAAGTACAACAATAACTTTTTTAAGGGACACAGAGGGAGCACTTGACAGAAAGATTACTGGTATTCCTAACATAAACAACAATTTGTCAATTTCATGTGTAGCTTATTGGATCTTGTAGTTTCATACTGGACCAATTGATGGAGTTTTTGGCGTTTACTGCTTCAGGACCCTCCCTAATCACAAGCTGAGTGGACCTATATCACCAGATATTGGGAAGCTAGAGAAGTTGCAATTCTTGTACGAGTCTCTTCTTACTCTTTTCAATGATCAAAGTTATTGGCTTATTGCTAATATGTTAACCTAGCATTTGCATATGCAGAGTGCTTCATGACAATAACTTTTATGGGACAATACCTCTTGAACTTGGAAACTGTACAAAGTTGAAATCTTTGTAAGTTCTTCATATTTTTTTAAGGAAATTCCTTTAGTCATTTATCTATATGACTTGACACTCATGACCTATGAGCAGGGTCTTTGGCCCCTAAGTTTATAGTTCTCCCTCCCTTAAATAAAAGCCTACATTTTCCGGGCACAACAATTGAGAAAAGAAAAGCAATGCAGTTGTGATTTACTTGGAAGAGGAGGAAACAATTAGAACTATATAATACTTTCCATAAATAGAAATGAGATGTAATTTTGGGATGACTCAAAAAAGAAGTGGGAAGATCATTTAGGGACAAAGGGAGTAGCTCATCAAAATTTATCAGGTAGACCAAAGTCATTCTAAGGTTTGGAAAGCTGCTTTAAGGCCTCAGCATTTGATATTTGTGAGGCGAGGCATAAACCTCAAAATGATTTGAGTCATAAAAATCAAGCTTACTTACGAACTTCCTTTACAAATCCAAAATACTAACAATCTATAGTACTATCAATCATGATCATGCATAGTTAAGAAGCCATGGTTAGTGTCATAAATCACTATCATGTATTCAGTGTAGTCTATTTTTCTCTTTGAATATAGCTTTTAAAAATTTTAATCCTATGAGAAATTGAAGTCCCTATGAAAAGAAGAAGAGAAGAAAAATGTTTGGAGATATTTAAGTTCTCAGTGAGTGCGAATCAAAAGAAAAAATAAAGGTGCTTGAAGACTTCTGCTGTTATTGTTGGGATCGAAAATTGAAATACAAAAGTACCTGGAGTTTTTAAACCTCGGCTCTGTCATAAATGTGCAGAAGCGCAGAGTAGCTTATAGCTTATGCTAAATAAATGGACATCGTATGTAGATTTTAGTTGGCCATGTAATTCATCATCATCATCATCATCACACTAATCCCAAGTATTTTAGGTGGCATTAGATTTATAGTGCCCATTAACACCATTAAATTTGGAAAAAACCACATTGGCAAAGGTTTAAGCCAGATGCCCTTCATATCACAACTTTCATAGGAATGAATATTGGAATGGGAAATTCTTAAATTGTCTTCATAATATGTTAGTTTCACATGCATAGAAAATATCATGACACCGTCCATTGCTAATGGAGCTAAAAGAGTCATTTCTGTCAATGTTTTAGTTTTGGGTAAACAATGGATGAAATAAGTCACACACCAAACTTCCTTTGCTTGTTACTTTGTATTATGTTTTGGTCATTATGCTTCAAGGGTCTATGTGAAACAACCAGCCTGCTTTTTTTGCAGGGGTAAGGTTGGTTACATCTTGACCCCCTAGACCCCGAGGGAGTTGTTGTTCTTGTTGTATACAAAATATCACGAGTCATGACACACCATTGAGTCAAAAAATCATAAAGTGGCTGGATTTGTTTGTGCCATTTCCTATTATATTTTGTACTTAGTGTCCCAAATCCCAATACTTCATTTTCCTTGGCTAGCTCATTTCCTAGCACACTTGTAATTCTTTTTCCTAGCATTACTTTAGAGTAGTGCTTTGCACTGTTGTATACATGGATGCTTATGATGTCAAATTTTGGATACAGATTTCTCCATGCATTTTGCTTCTAATGTCAAATTTTGGATATGGATTTCTCCATGCATTTCGCATCTAATGTGTTGCATTCTGTGTCATTTACCTATAATTCATGACAGGCTTTTGCAGGGTAATTATTTGAGTGGAATGATCCCCGATCAATTGGGAAACCTTTCTTATCTTGAAAATATGTAAGATACTTTTCTTTTACGCAACAATGGTCATTCCCCATTCTTATATTTATATTCTGTGAGGTACTTAATGTGGACAAGATTTTCTTATACCTTAACTACCAGCCGACATTCTTCTGAAATTCAATATCAGACCTGACTAGGAACATTCTTAAGTGCAAAATATTTTTTTTTCTGTTTTCAAGTTTTATGGAGCTTGTTTTCGCTTTGAATGAGCTTGGCCAAATGTAGAAATGCATAGATTTTTTAGCCCACTATGCACGTTTGTTTTCTATAATTGAAAATAGGGAAAGTCCTGAATGTAAGTTGTTTCAGAAGGTTAGTTGGTGACTTTATATTAGTTGGTGTTAGTTGCACAACCCATTTAGATGAGTCCCATTAACTTTAACATCTCACATGGCTGACACCTTTAGTGCTTGTTCTATTTAAAGAATATTGCCTTAATTAGAAGTGTAGGAGATATGTATGGTGTGTGTTATGTGTGTCATTGTGTTTTTTAACTTTCTTCGTTATTATAACATCTATCAAAAGAAATTGGGATAACGTGTTTATTTGATCACACACACATGCTTTTGAATTTGGATTATCATTACATGTATCACTGTAGGTGTGTTTGATATCTTAACATACAAGTAACATTTACCCGAAATAGTCTCAACCATTGCTAAATTGAGTCAATCTGCAAACATTAAAGCTATATTTAGTTGTTATGCAACCAGTGCTAGATCTGTTTCCCTATAACTGTCTTTGAATTGATGTTGCTTCAGAGCTTTTATTTCCCACCTGCTTGTTTCCACTGTATGTGTCATGTGTATGTGTGTGTGGGCATGTTCTATGTATATGGGCTCACGCGTGTCATTGCAATATTGTATACACAATGGATTCTGTTCATATATATGGTGAAGGTCAATAGGTCATAATATCTACTTTTTGTTCAGGGATCTTTCAGGCAACTCTCTCAGTGGAAATATTCCACAATCACTTGGGAAGTTAGAAAAACTAAGAACACTGTGAGTGTAATAATTTTGTCATGTTCACGGCAACTTTGAGATCAAAATATGTTATTTTTTGTTTGTGTACTATTGACAGCAATGTATCAAATAATTTTCTGACTGGGCAAATACCTTCGGATAGCCATCTTGCGAACTTCAGAAAAGACTCGTACGTATTAAATATTTTATGTTTTACCGATTTATTTATTTTATTTAAGTGGTTAAATTGCTACATTAGGTGGTGCCTTCTTAGCATGTGAATATTTATTGTTCTCCAACCCCACATTTCTATATATGTTCCACTTTTTCCCATTTTTAAATTGATAACTGATTAGTGATATGTTTGCCGCTAATACTCCTCGTTATGGGCCTGAGATATAAGGAGAGAGAGCTCCAACCTATGACTTAAAATACACAACACGCACTCAGGAAGTTATGGGGGAGAGCATCAATATAACAAGCAGCAGAAAGAATTTAAAAAAATTATTATTCCATAATAAATATAATAGATACCAAGTTGCCTTATGTAGAAGCCTATTATTCCTAAATGCAAAAGTAAACTTATTAATAGAAGCTTACTAAATAACTTGTTATATTTAAGTTTTAAACAATAATTATTTGTGTACAATATAGGGAATTAAATACTAGTAGGAGACAACTAATACTAATAAGAAACTACTACTATACTACTTTAATAATAATTTTATGTATTAATATTACACTATATCTTCCTTACATATTTTCATTGATCATTTGCTAAAATACTAGTCATGTCACCTCTTGTTTAGTAGATCTTTTGATGTAATTTTGAAATATATACGGAGTAAATTTTACTTTTGTTAGTGTCACACCAATCTTTGAATAAAACAGATTGAAAATAACTTCACTTAAACATCACAAAATGTGATGTGACAAAAAAGTGGGACATAGGGAATATAATAAATAATGAAAATAACTATCAATTATAAAAGATCGGACATAGGGAGTAATAATTAATAATGAAAATAACTATCAATAACACTAAATTCTGTCACAACATCAACAACCCAGTAAGATCCCTACCCAAATAGGAAATTGATTATGCTTATAAGTACGGAAAACAGTAACATGGGCCTCCAATACTCAATAGTTTTTTTAACAAGGATAAATTTCTCTGTGGTTTCATTTGGCGAATGACTGAATGCTTCTACTTTCTCAATATTTTCCCTTTCCCATTTTTTCCTATGAGCTGCTTCTTTAAAATTTTGTGAATACTTTTATTAGTTTGGCCTGGACATGGTGCTAATGTAGTTTTATGTTGTATCTAGTATATGCTTGCCATACACTTCAAAACTCAAGTATTTCTAGGACCTCTATATGTTTTTTTTGCACTGATAAATTCAAGGCTAATTCATACGTTTACTTAAAGAGAGTTGTCTTTGCTTTCTCAGGAATTACGACTCCCACTTGTTTTTATCAGACTGTAATATTTACTTTAAGTTTCAGTATATTTGGTCATGAACAATGCATATCAACTTATAAATGATAGAATATCAATATATTGGCTAGGGGTAAGGTCTGCGCACATCTACATCCCTAGACCCCACTTATAGGATTTAAGGCTTTTCCCCTTAACTTGAGTCTTGAATTCAATTTACTTAAAAGTGTGGAGTGTGGAGTGGAGCCTCGAGTTAAAAGTTAAAAAGAACACAACCTTAATTGAGTTGTATATATATGCAATGCAACTTCTGTATTCCATACAAATGTGTATGGGGCATGTGCATAAATTTTGATTACTGATTCGACAGGCAATATCTCTCTATGAACTGCCAATATCTTTTCCATTAGCTGCAAAGTGTGGGTTAGGATGAAATTGCATGTTTGATATTCTGTGTACCAGATATGAAATTTACCAAAGTTGCAAGTTGAATCTTAGTAACCGAGTGAAAATCATTATGTATCATCAGAAGATCAGATACATCATTTGTCATCCTTCTGTTCTGATATTTCCACCATCAATTGCAGATTTTTTGGAAACCGTAATTTATGTGGACAACAAATTGATTCAGTCTGCAAACAAAATGCTGGAGGTTCTACGCCAACCTATCAGCCTCCCAATTCCGGTAAATTTCATGTATCATTTTTTATCCAAGAATCCCCATTCCATGTCTATCTATGGGGTATTGGGGAGATAATGGTCAGTGACTTATTGATCTTTTACGGTTTACCTGTTTTGGAGGGCATTTTCTGACCCCTGATTCGTTTTTGAAATGTGGCATAATAGATAATTTCGTCTTCTGATGGCTGACAATATTTTATGTACTCTGTCTTTAGTTATTTTGGATAAATGGGTTACTTGTTTTTTGTTTTGAAAAAAAGAAGCATGACTAACTTTGAAACAGATAAATTGGTGGATTATGCACCTCAAGTCTTCTTATTATGAAAAGTACATTTAAAAACAAATTCTTCTCTGCAAAATAATAACTGGGATTCTGAAATACTGAAATAGATTATGATTATTTTCTACATTCAATCTCATAGTAATCCAGGTAAATCATCAATCCAGTAACTCTATGTCTACATCCCATTTTAAGATATTATTTGCTGCCATTATCATGTTTTACCTGAACACATGCTGCTTCACATAGTTTTTGAATTTATCTTCTTCTTTTGTTTCATCATATCTTTCAGTCTTGTTTATGCAATTTATTCATGTTTCTCTTCACGTGTGGCGTAGTGTATTAACAAAACAATCTGTTTCTTGTTTTTTCAGGTCATGATAAGAAAATTTCTGAGAAAGTGCTAATATCTGCATCTGTTACCGTTGGGGCTTTGCTTTTGGTGGCTTTGATGTGTTACTGGGGCTGCCTCCTCTACAAGAGATTTGCTAAAAATGAAAATGGAAGCTTGGCTAAGGACGTTGGTTCAGGTTCTATCCTTATTATGAATAGATACTTGTCCATCTGCCCCATTGAAAGACCATTTTGAGTTTGGTGTGGCTCTGTTTTCTACTACAGTGAAAATCCTCACAAATTTATCTTTTCAGGTGCCTCAATTGTGATGTTCCACGGAGATTTGCCATACTCATCAAAGGATATAATAAGGAATTTAGAATTACTGAATGAAGAACACATAATTGGTTCTGGGGGGTTTGGAACTGTGTACAGGCTTGTAATGGATGATGGCAATGCATTTGCATTGAAAAGAATTCTCAAAATAAATGAGCGTTTTGATAGGTTTTTTGAAAGGGAACTTGAAATCCTGGGAAGCATTAAGCACAGGCACTTGGTAAATCTGCGAGGATATTGCAATTCTCCCACATCAAAGCTGTTAATATATGATTTCTTACCAGGAGGCAGCCTAGATGAAGTTCTACATGGTATAGTACTTTATTTACATATGCTCTGTGGTATACTAAATGGTTCAAGGATGAATTTACTTCCGTCCATATAAATTTCTCCATAAATTTAACTCTGTAACCTGCATGTAATTTTGGAACCTGGGTGCTTGTAGTACTTCGTAATTGATTATGGAATAGCCTTTGCATCAGAAGGTAGTCTATTCTAGAAACATACAAGTCTATTCTAGTATTGATGTCACACTGTAATACGTACTCTCTCTGTCTCAAAAATAAACATCACACTTCTCCTTTTCCATTTAACTTATTGAGGAATAAAATGTGTGGCCTGCATTATTTCTCTTTCTTCTAAATAAATCCTAACCAAATACTTTTCTTAAACTCAGTTAATTGAAACCCCAAAGTTTATTTTTAGGACAGAGGGAGTATTTTCCTCTGTGATTTTTTTGTTGATTCGTGAAAGGTTATGTGTTCTGCACAGATAGATCTGAGCAATTAGACTGGGATACACGAGTGACTATAATAATGGGAGCTGCAAAAGGGCTTGCATATTTGCATCATGATTGTTCACCACGAATAATACATCGTGACATAAAGTCTAGTAACATCTTACTAGATGGGAATTTTGAAGCACGCGTATCTGACTTTGGATTGGCCAAGCTACTTGAGGATGAGGAGTCCCACATCACTACAATTGTGGCTGGCACCTTTGGTTATTTAGCTCCAGGTATGCGCTATTGAAAATTCATTTCAGTTACTTAATGTTGCACAAGCCAAATCTCCAACGACATAATTCCCCTCAGTGATTTCAATTTTCTCCATCATCAGCACCTTGTTGCCACCCTTAATCAGTTTATTGGCACGACATTTCATGATTCACGGGACTAATGAGGCAGAGATGATCTAGGTTTTTTATATAGTCAATTAGCCATGGCTCATCATTACATTAATATTGTAAAGCCATTTTATATATCATAGAACATGGCCACAGTGTATTTTTCTAGCTGCTGTTTTGCTCAATTAACTCATTCTGCCAGTCTCTTCATTTTATAAAGGTGAAAGACATCGAACTTGATATATTACCCATGGGTGTTTACTTTACGAGACGAAAAAGCTGTGTCCGCATGCTATTTGAATTTTAGTGCTGTACTGGTGGGTGCAATTAGTTTTCAACACCTTAATTTTAACGACTTGGGGTTGGTGGCATTTTATAATTGTGACCATTAATTGTATAAGGTTACTTGACAGTAAATCCACTAAGTTACATGCATCAAATCGGTGGCATTAAATTTGTTGTGACAATTAGTCCTAAATTCATGCAAGAAGCATAGTGTCAATATTGAGGCATGGTTATTGAACATGACTTGAGGCTTCTGCAACTCACCGAGTACTCTATACATTAGATATGAGTGTTTAGAGGCCGAGAATAAAAGTTGCAGGGTATTCTTAGATAGGAGTGCTGCACCACGTGTCTAGGGTTCTAGGGGTTAACTAGGTGTAGTAGGGTTGCATTGTGGCCCTATTTGTTCATAGGTACCATTTTTGTCACTGCTCTTCGGTATTCCTATTTATTTACCTCTTGTTGCACTGTTCTAATTTGTGTCTTTTGTTTTTAAGTCGGGGTACTTTCATAAACAACCTCTCTACATTTTTATAGATAGGTGTAAAGTATGCGTATACTCACTCAGACCCCACTTGTGTGAAATTAGTATTTAGGTTGTTGTTGTCCTTGATATTGCAATCCCTTCATAAGAAGGTATAATGAGATGATTTTTAAAATGTCATCATCATTGATTCATAGGTAATTTCCACATGCATGGAAAAGTGAGACTGATGAATTGAGATTGCTAATTTTGTTTTCCATAACAAGTTTGATATTGTGAAATCCATGTACAAATAATGAAATTTGAGAAAGTGTTCTGTGACACTAAAAAAGTTGAAATATTTTTTAAAGTTTCTTTTAAGTTGCTGAGTCGCATGGTGGTACGTTTTGATTCATTTCATTCATTATGTTTCTCTGATATGTATGTTTGTCTACTTTGTAGAATACATGCAGAGTGGTCGAGCCACAGAGAAGACAGATGTTTACAGTTTTGGTGTTTTGGTTCTTGAAATACTGAGCGGAAAGCGTCCAACTGATGCATCTTTCATTGAAAAGGGTCTAAACATTGTTGGTTGGGTATGTTTATTTTTTTGGAAACTGGAGTTCATCTTGAACTTGGATACTGTGTTCATATTTTTCTCCTCGAGATTGGTTCATTGGACTTACCCTTGAGTAATGGTAGGTGTCCCATTAGATGAACCAAATCAAATACCTCCAACCTCCCTCCCCCCTCCCCCCCCCCTCTCCTCAAAAGAAAAAAAAAACTTCAAAGTTAATTCTTAAATAGACCTCAGTGGCTCTCCTCCTCCTGCACCTCTGTTTGAGTTTTGCCAGAATATCTGTTTTCTTTGCCTACTTGACTTGTACCCATTTGGTGATATTGCGATAGTTTTTACCATAAGCTCTGTCTGACATGGTTAGGACTTGGAAAAGATTGCCAAATAACCAAATTTAGTTTGGTCCATTTTTTTGGTTTTTTTTGTCCTGCTTTGTTATATAGTCCATTTTAGAATGGTTTGATTACAGTTCAGGAACAACATTGCGAAAACTAGAAACTAATACTTCCTCCGTCCCACAAAAAAGTTCCCATTTTGACCATAAATTGGTCAAACTATTGCACACTTTGACCCTAATTAAATATAATCTAAATAAAAAAATGCTAAAAAAATTTGAGATATCAAAACTAGATCCTAAGATGAATCCAATTATATAAAATTTATTTTATAATTCAATATACCTTTCTCACAATTTGTAGTCAAAGCGTATAAATATTTGACTAAATACTATTCAAAATGGGAACTTTTTTGTGGGACGGAGGGAGTAACAAATTCTCCGGGTCAAATCAGTCCTCAATGTCCATCCCTAAGTCCTAACATAAACAGATGTCGCCTGGGTCTTTTTTTAGAGCTAATTTGAGAGAATTTTTAGCATTGCTATGGCCATAATCGCTCAATAAGTTTCACAATTGATCAGGTGCAGCTATTAAGAAGAAAAGAAAGAATATGAACCACTTGATTTTTTGCTTTAAGTGAAAGCTGTTTTTTTTCGGAAAAACAAAAAAAGAGAAGTAGAAACTGCTTGGATGCAACCACAAGTCTCTTTAATTGTATGTATTGGTTTTGCAGTTGAATTTTCTGGCGACAGAGAACAGGCAACAGGAAATAGCAGATCCAAACTGCGACAGAGCGCAGGCCGAGAGTAGCTTTGATGCATTGCTCTCAATTGCAATACAATGCGTCTCTTCGAATCCGGAGGATAGGCCCACGATGCACAGGGTACTCCAGATTCTTGAATCTGAAGTGATGACCCCTTGCCCCAGCGACTTCTACGACTCCAGCTCAGACTGATGGATGCATCACCGTTACGCTCATGAATTGAAATTGTGAGTGTTCTCATACTCCCATTCTTATTCTTTCTCCTTTAGCCTTTTTCCTTTATAATCCCCACAGTGGCTGATTTTGCTGTGATGGCCTTGTTTGGTTTCTGTTTTGAAATCCTAGTAGTGTTTGTTTGCCTTGCCTTTGTTTTCTCATCTATTTATTTCCACCTTTTTTTTTCAAGTAGCCTTTTTTATTGTATTTTCTTGTGCAGTATTGTCACATTTGGTTGTATATGAAATGTCAGATATATACTATCATCATCCAGACTGCCAACCAATCCCATTTTGTAATTATTACGGATTATGATAATGCCATCACTCTTAAAATTGAGTTTGTATAGAGTATGAACTTATCGTGCCCTATATTCCTTTTTTTGTGTAATTTTTGTCTCCATGTTAAAATTTATTCCAATTCAATTTATTTAAACGAGTGTGAAGTTCAAAAATAAAATTTAAATATAATTAAGAACTAAAAACTCTATAAAACTAGTCACTTGATTATATAGACCATTATTTTAACGATTGATTTTTAAAAAAATGAATGAAAAGGTGTAATTTGAATATGTGAACGGGGAATGGGACCATTACCATGAAAAAGTAGGTTAATTAATTTACCAAACGTTTATGGAATTAGGGCCTGTTCTTTAGGACTCGAAAAAAAGAACTGAATATTGGAAGAAATTGGAAAAATTAGAAAAAACTGGAAGAAAATGGAAGAAATTGGAAGAACCGGAAAAATTGGAAGAAACTGGAAAGAATTGGAAGACGCAGAGAGACGCAGCACCGAAAAAAGGGTAAGAAACGGAAAAGGGGGTGAACTGCTAAATGAAATGCTACTAGGGTTGGCATTTCAAATTTTGGCTGTTCGGTTCTAAATGCCAATTCCAAAAGCCATTATCCAAACAATTAATTTGGCGGTTTGACTAGTCTAATCTGCCGTTTATGGTCAAAGATGTCAAATGATGGGTGAACCGCCATTAACCAAACATGGCCTTTGTACCATAAATATTGACACAAGTAGTGTGAGATTTAACCTACCTTGATTTTTTTAATGATTGTTTTGAGTGATTTTTTTAGTGTTATATTATGACTTCAAGATTTTATTCTACTCCCTCTGCGAGTAGAATTAAAACATAAATTTTATATGTTAAAAATTACATAAAAAATTTTACAAAATAAAAAATGATGTAATTATATTATTTTATCAAATAACAAATGAAAATAAAGAAAGAAAGTGAACGAAAATTGATAGAGGAAGTATGACATTCAAGATGAGTGTAAAAAATTATCTTTCTATGTCAAGTCTCACAAGTACTTTCTCCACCACATCATTCCAATATATGTTTGTTTCTTCACTTTCTTGAGAAGTACATAGTCCTCTACTCATTAGAAAAATGCTAGGGGTACACCTTTGGTGTATCTCATTTGTCCCTCACCCCCTCCATCACTACAAAAAAGACAAGAAAATAAAAAAAATAAACAAATAAAAATAAAGAAAAATTGTATGGTGGAGAAATGGGTGGGAGACAAATGGGGTAGACCAAATGGTGTACCGGGGTAGACCAAATGGTGTACCCCTAGCATTCCTCTACTTGTTAAGGTTATATAGACGGTACATTTTCAAATAACAAAGTACTCCCTTCGTCTCATTTTATAACGCATGTTTCAGTTTACGATGTTTGACTGAAATTATTTGTAAACCATTTTATATGACAAATGGTATAGAGCTAAAAAATAAAAATTACATATTAAAAAACTACATCAAAAGATCTACAAAACTAGTAGTGACAATAGTATTTTATTTTATCAAATTGCTAACGAAAATAGAGAAAGAAAGTGAATGAAGTTTGATCTAGTGAACAGTGAACAGACATTATAATTTGGGATGGTGGGAGTACTTGTTATTTATTTGATGGATGTATACCTCAAATAAAGCGATATACATCATGAAACTTTTTACATCTCAAATTTTTCCAAATTTGACCTTTAGGAGGTGTTACTAGTAGAAGTTTCACCAAAATAAAATGACGACAATTAAAAGTTAAAACGTGTAGCATTTGAGAAATAACAGACTGTGGAAGACATAAAAAAAGTCGGGATATGTTAGATTAAATTTAAAAAAATAGAGATATTTATGTTTAATTAGGCCAAATTCAAGAGTTTTTTTAAAGAAATAAAATTAAAAGAGAGTTTTTTTTAGACTCAATGCTCAAAATATCCATACAACCATTTACTGCGTAAAGATATATAGATGCATGTGGGTGGATGGTTAGAATTTGGACCCAATGAAGAAACGAATCGTCGTCAACGAAGCTCTTTCCCGCTGACGTCATCGTCGTCGTCTTCATCAAGGCCAGCAAACTCCATCCTAGCAGATGCCTGTTTCGCCCACTTCACTATCTTCTCCGCCTCCCTGCTGATCTTCTCCCCCTCCTTCATCGCCTTCTTGAGCATTTTCTCCTGCTTCTTCTCGGAGAAACTGTTCAAATCGGACAGGAATCTCTTGCCTGCGGCGCCTCTGTTCTCTTTCCCCTTGTTCTTCTTCCTCGGGGAACACCACAGGCAGCCGGTTTTCGCCGGAGGCGACGGGGGATCCGTCGAAGCCGAGGAATCCGAAGACGAAAAGGAACCCGACCCGAATTTCCTTTCTGGTAAATCCAATTTCGGCGGCGATGAAACGAAATCGGAAATCGAACCCTTCTCTGGACCTTTATTCCCCTCGAATCGGTCTTCCTTCGCCGGAACAGCAGCGGACTGAGAGACGGCGGAGCTTATAGGGGCGGGGGCGGCGAGATTAGGGGGTTTAGGGTTTGCAGAAGGGAAGGATTTGAGCTTACGGAAGCGAGATTCGAGGTGAGACGGGAGGGGCGAATCGGCGAATCCGGAGCAGTTGATGGCGGCGACCTGCTCGAGAACATAGTGATCCATCGCCTGAGACAGAAGCTCGTCGGCTGCTGCTCTGACGTCATCGTCGCTGTCCGAAAGGAAGGAGATATCGGCCATTGATGGAGGGATGAAAATAACAGAATAAATGAAATGAGAGAATGGTCCCTAACGGCTAGCTCACGATGAATGGCGTGCTCTACAAAAATGTGTGATTTTTTCTCTTTAAACATAAAAAGTTGGGTATTAAGATAAGTTCTTTAAGGAGTAATTTTTTTCAAAATAAAAATAAAAACAATAGTTATAGGGGTATGCTAAAAATGTATTCAATACTTCTCCACCATACAATCTTAGTATTGATAATAACATATAATGAATCAATAAAGAATATATGATAAAAATTGATGTATTTTATTTCGTGTCCGGTATTACTCAAATAAAAATATTTATCTCAACATAAGACAAATGCTTATAAGCTTCATATACGGGTGTGCGGTGAGTGCAGTCAGTGCACCATGGGCCTTAGGCATCTTTAATGGAAAAAACATAATGTTGAGCCTGCGTAGCGGTTATGTGGATCTTAAGTGAAGCATGAACTACTTAATTTATTAAAAGAGTTGCGAGACTTGCTTAGGGAAGCAATTGTTCTTTAGCTAAAAACTCTCCCAGAGGAGGGAAGTCGAGCACCGACATTATATAATACTTGGTCCGTCCCAGAATGTTTGTCTACTTTTGACTTTTGGAATTGTTTATCTAAACACTTTGACTCATCAAATTCTCTCAATGTTTAAGCCTAAAAATAGTCATGTGTGATCTTGTTTGATTCGTCTTAACATATAGATTATTAATATATAATTTTTATAATTTTTTAATATACAAATTTACAAGATAAAATGGATTAAAGAAGTGCATTGGATGGTGTGCAAAAATGAAAGTGGACAAACACTCAGGGAGGGAGGGAGGGAGTATAATACTCTTTTAAGCCAAGATTTATTTTCCCACCGGGTTGTTAATGCTTGGCAAAAGCTTTTAACTAAGCAATGACATACGTAAATCATTTTTGATCAATTAGAGGATCAATAAGAAGTTTAGTCTCAATGAAGAAAGTAATCCATATTTTCTTACAAGTGGTACTTCTTCCCCCTTCCCATTCTTTCAAGATGATATTTAATTTTCTCAAGAGGTTTTTGCTATTTGAAGAGCCTATGATTCTATCTTCAATTTAGCACAAGGGGAGTGTTAAAAAAACTGCAAATTGTGTGCTACTCCCTTTGTCCCAATTTATAGTGCTTCTTTCAGTTTACGATGTTTGACTAAAATTATTTTCAAATCATTTTATATGACAAATGGTATAGAGTTAAAAAATAAAAATTATTATTAAAATACTACATCCAAAGTTCTACAAAACTATTAGTGACAAGAGTACTTTATTTTATCAAATTGATAATTAAAATAGATAAAGAAAGTAAATAAAGTTTGACCCTGTGAATAGTGAACATGCGCTATAAATTAAGGCGGAAGAGGTATACATGATGTATATAGAATGTATATTAGAGATTGTATGTTGTAACTTATGTATTATGCGCACACTCTTCTCCATATAAACCTTATCTCTATCCTATTTACAGGGACATTTGCTAATGAAAAACGTTGAATTTGAGCTTCCCTCCAACATACTCCTCCCGTCCCTAAATAAATTACGGAATATAATTTTTTTTTCTTTTTTCGATAACTTTTATTTGTTTACGTGATTTTATTAAGTATTTGATAAAATAAAATATTCTTGTCATCTCTTGTTTTGTAGAACTTTTGACGTAGTTTTTTAATATGTAATTCTTGTATCTTATTGATATACCAATTTGTAAATAAAATGACTTCAAAAAGTAAGATATTTTACTCCGTAACCCGCAATTTGTAATCAAATTGGGGACGAAAGGAGTATAATATTTTATTATTGGAATATATGCGGAATGGTATTTTTACGGTGTCCTGCTAATGCCCCATCCATTTAGAATAGGGATGGTTCGGAAAAAAAATGTATTTCTGATTAAACGGTATAATTCCAAAACGGCATCGAAATGTTTTGAGTAGGGCTGGGTTGGAAAAACCGCAAACCGAACCGAAATCGATTGAAACGAGCTAGTAAAAAAACCGAAACCGAATGTAAAAAACCGAACCGTTAGTATTTGGTTCCGTTTTGGTTTTCACTTTGAAAAACCAAACCGAACCGAATAAACTGAACTTTTTAGATACTTCACTCAATTTATATGAATATATGTGATATGTAGAAAAATCATAGAAATATAAATGTAAATAAATTACTAGTAATCCTAATATAGAATCATATTAAGATTAAAAATTGATACGCGTAATTTACATATTTACATAAAAAATACTTTGATGTTATAATGAAATTGAAAGTATTATACAAAAAATATAAATTCTTCATAATT